CCCCAGCTCCAGGAGACCCTGTGTGGCGTGCCAAGAGGCTGTCAGACATTTCTGGGTCGAGCCCCTCCCCGGCTCCGGGGGGGGGGGGGGCCCGGGGGGGGGGCGGCACGCCTGCCTCCAGGCGGGAACAGCACGCGCTTCTTGACGGCTCTGTTTTTATGGAAGTCTAAATCATCAGTAAATATGGTTTTCCACTTTGCAGATGTCAAACACTTAAAGGTTATCTCTTTTACATTTTTATTGTTAAGCTGACTGTGGCAAATGTTCGGCGGGGGAGGGTGTTCTGGGGGAAAACACCAATCTCCTCCCCCCCCCCCCCAAACTCACCTCAGGGATCAGAAGCTTCTCACGGAATTGGACCAGCTGTAGGTTTTCATACACATGTCTGCTGAAGTCATTAAATGAGCCCCCACGGCGCTCGGGCTGCTGAGCCGGAGGCCTCCTGTCCTGCAGGGGGACAGGGCGGGCATCGGGCTTCAGCTGACGACAGGAAGGAGCTCGGCTCACTGTCATGCTCATCCCATCCTGGACGCGGAGTCTTGGGGGGCTGGGGCGTGACCGGAGAAGCCAGGGCGTCCCGAGTCACAGAGACGAAAAGTAAAAGGGGCATGTGAGAAGATGGGCCTCACAACTCGGTCAGTTACAGGTGCTGCTTGCGAGAGTATAGGTTGGAAGTCAAGGAATGATTCTCCTTCTCTCAGAGTCGGAATTTAAGCATGTTTTCTACCCCCTCATTTCAGCGTGATCTATGTGACCTGCCTTGGGGACAGCACAGGGGGTCCGTGCCACCAAGGCTGACGTCAGAATTTGCATATGTATGAATTGGCCCTGGCGTGTGAGCCCTTAGCCTCCTTCTTATGTTTATTTTGCCAAACATAGGTTCATTTTTTTTAATGTTTTTTAAGCTTATTTATTTATTTTGAGAGAGAGAGAGAGGGGAAGCACAAGCTGGGGCGGGGCAGAGAGAGACAGAGAGAGAATCCCAAGCAGGCTCCAGGCTGAGCTGTTGGCACAGAGCCCGATGCAGAGATCGAACCCCCAAACTGTGAGATCATGACCTGAGCCCAAATCAAGGGTCGGATTCTTAACCGACTGAGCTGCCCAGGTGTTCCCAAACACAGGTTTATTTAAACACAAGTTTAGGGACGCCTGGGTAGCGCATTCGGTCAAGCGTCCGACTTCGGCTCAGCTAATAAGTTCGAGCCCCGCGTCGGGCCCTGTGCTGACAGCTCGCAGCCTGGAGCCTGTTCGGATTCTGTGTCCCCCTCTCTCTCTGCCCCTCCCCCACTGTCTCTCTCTCTCTCTCTCTCTCAAAAATAAACAATAAAAAAAATTTTTGAACACAGGTTTCAAATCTTAAATGCTCTTCTCAGCTTTATAGCCAGAGGCAGAACCCCACAGCCCCGCGTGACTGTAACACACATCATCCTGTTGTATCGACAGTTCTGTGCCCGTGGCCTCTTACCTGGGAATCAATCCGTTAAGTTCCAACCAGAAGTTCTGGTACAGGCCATGCACACCCTCGCCTCTCCGTTTAAGTAAATGTATCTTACGCGGGCTATGACCCTGTTACTAAACGGCGCCACAGTCATGATGCACCGAAGAATTACATGCGCTTGTGAGCCTCAAGTCTTCGTTTTCTAGGACGGTGCAGGAGGGGGTGGTGTGCGTAAGAGAAAAATCAGTGTTTGTCAACACGTTACTTTGTCAGTTGGGAGGAACTTGAGGCCACCTGGTTTATCCAGCCCCTGCTAGCGGGTGTCGAGCCCCAGACCGGATTCGGGCCAGACTGGCAAAACCTCGACCCTCAGCTTGACCTGCTGGGAGCAGGTCTTACGCTCAGGGGACGCCCAGCACGGTTTGTGACCACTTCTTCCGGAACTTGGAAAGCAGATGAGCTGGATTCAAAATGAGCTGTTTTCTCAGAACCATGAGGGGGCCACGCAGAGCGAGCTGGTTTGCAAAAGTCAGTCGTAGACTCAGAGCGTCCCGTCCGTGATCAGAGCCGCCGTGCTGGCCCACAGAGTCGCGCACAACCTCGCCACGTACCCACGTAGCACCGTAGCGGCACCTGGCTCACGGTCTCCCTTCTTCCCTCCAGCCCCAGGCCCACCCGTGAGGCTCGTGTTTCCTGAAGTGAGACTCACGTCCGTGCGGATCGTGTGGCAGCCGCCGGAGGAGCCCAACGGCATCATCCTGGGTGAGGGAGCGGCCGCGACGTACCAGGTCGTAGCTCGGAGGGAAACAGCAGTTGGATTGATTTCATCTGGTTTTTTTACACATCAAAGAGGTTGGGGGGAAAAGACAAAGTCCTGCCCGCCGTGGCTGCGCGTTTTCCGCGCTGAGAAACGTGGGACCCTCGGCTGCTCTGTGAGCTGAGCGCTGAGGTTTCCTCGCAGGTGGGAATTTCCACGTTGTTCACCCAGAACCTCTTCCTTTCGTTCGCGGTTCACAATGGTACCGTGTGTAATTGGCCTTTCCTTCAGCTCCGAAGCCACGAGGCTGTTTCCATGTGTGTTTGGGATACAACAGGCTCATTTTTCACGGGAGCCAGAGGCCTGGCCTTTGCTCCCAAGTTCCAGGAAACATCCCCTGCTGCAGGGCTTGCGCCTAATCCTTTGAATAAGTTTCCGGAGTGAATTGTGTGTGCCCTCATCCCCCGGAAATTTGTTTGCTTTTAACTTTTAGCAGGGCAACTCTGATAACATTGATGAAAAGCCTTAATTTTTCCTTGTTCCCCCAAGGCAGCAAGTTGTATTTTTAAAATTTTTTTTTCAACGTTTTTAATTTATTTTTGGGACAGAGAGAGACAGAGCATGAACGGGGGAGGGGCAGAGAGAGAGGGAGACACAGAATCGGAAACAGGCTCCAGGCTCCGAGCCATCAGCCCAGAGCCCGACGCGGGGCTCGAACTCACGGACCGCGAGATCGTGACCTGGCTGAAGTCGGACGCTTAACCGACTGCGCCACCCAGGCGCCCCACAAGTTGTATTTTTAAAAAAATCATCAGTCCCTTTATTTATTCACGTTCTCGCCATGACGAATTAAGGGCCTCCTGTATGCCTGGCGTCGTGTCCGTGGTGGGCAGTAAGGAGTGAATAAGATACGCCCATCCTCAAGATGTGAGGTGCCCAGGGCAGCACCGGGGAGGGGCCCAAATGCAGTGCAACATGATAGGTGATGGGACACAGATTCGAGAAATGCCCCAAAGCACGTCTTCCCGGGGCGAGGGGCTCTCGGTGGACGGAAGGCCGCTTTGGAACTGGATCTTGCAAAGAAGTGGCTTCCGGAGCCCTGGAGGAAGGGAAGAGGGTCATCCACTCAGCCAGACGGAATGTCTTGTGCCTCTGGTTGCGTAGACAGACCCAGGCCTGGAGATGTGGGCCGGGCCGGGGACTGCTGGGGATGGCCGGCTGCACCAGGCAGGGGTGCTCCTAGGCCTTGATGCGTGAAATCAGGCATTGAAAGGCACAGTATGTTCTCCAGACCCGGGCCAGCCCTCTGATTGGGTGCGTCCCTAATCCCAACGTGGAGCAGACCCCCAAATGTGTCAGTTTCTGTGCTGGGTGTTCAGATCAGAAACCTGAGCTTACAGACAGGTAGCAAAATTCACCACGTCTATCTGCTTCTGACATTAGGATTCTAAGATTTGGTTCAAAGAAGGGTTCGCTTCATTAAAAACTTTTTTTTTTCATGTGTGCTGAGGCCAGTAGGGAGTCACCCAAGGACTTGGGAGCAGCAAAGTGACATAATCAGATTTGTCTTTTAGGTAATAACTAAAGGGAGAGGCAGATATTTATTGAGTTCTTGTTTCATGGAGACGGGACCTGGGGCATACCTCAGTCGCCTGCACAAAGGCTGTGGCCCTCCTCGGTCTGACTCTTCCTTGGGCAGTGCCTGGAGTCACTAGATGGGGCGTCTTGCTATGAGCACGGTATTTCTGAATTGGGTGACCTTGGGAACTATAGGTTCTTGCTACTCAAATCACAATGAGCAGACGAAGAAGCCCCTGTTGAAGTATGTGTTTCGGATCTTGTCCAGACGAGACGGGATCTCAGACACCTGTTGGGCCCTGCGCCTGGAGCTCCAGACCTGGGGCGGAGGGTGGTGTGCAGGGCGTAGGCTACGGCAGAGGCTTTCTGGAGCCCTCCACACAGGGCCCAGACTGCTGCCTCTTCCGGATGGAGCGTATCCGATTACCCAGGGGACGTCCCCAGCCTGCTGTGAGACAGGAAACATGTCTGGAGCACAAAGTGTGAATTCCAACCTGTCACAGTACCCGGAGTCTCCAAGAAGCAGAGCCTCCCCTGCCTGCTGGGGGAGGGAGGCCCCACAGCCCTGGGCCTGGCAGCCCCCCTCGGCTTTGCCCTCCGCCCGTGCTCCAGTCCCAAGGCTGGTGCTAATTCTGCGCCTACCTCCGCACTCACTGTAGCCATCGTGGACTGATAAGAATCATTCTGACAGGAGGACCCCACGGGAGATGGAGGGGAGGCCAGTAAACGTTTCATGTGTGTTTCTCTCTTAGCGCAGACAGACACGCGCTCTGATTTTGTAGCCGTGGCTTTGAACTGCTCATCCGGGCTCCTCTTTGGGGAGGTTCTGGCCTCTGCCAGCACCAGCCCCCTGTGCTTACTGGTCCTCTGCCAGGGAAGACCCCTGCCCCTTCTCTGCCTTTACCATCACATTCGATGTCACCTGTACCTGCACGTTCTCTCCACGCCCGTCCCTGCCTTCCTGCACCGACCACAATCACATGAGTCTCGCCATCCAAAAGTAAAATCTTGTCACTTATTTTTAAGGGTCTCTCTAACATCTGTTCCTTTGATTGAAAGAGCACTTGGAAAATGAGAATTCAGACCATGATGGAATAGAATCTTACATTATTCAGATGGAGAGCCATAGAAAGTGTGGTACCACCCAGGCGAGGCAGAGATGTGGGGAAGCAGACACACTCATGTGCAATTGTTTGGAATGTGAACCGGCACAGCCTCTCCGGAGAAGAATCTGGGAACGTCTTGGCGAGGTGAACACATCTGCGCTCTACCTCCCGGGAGCCCGTCAGCGCTTAAACCCTGGAGGACGTCTCATACCGGGACCCAAGGAAAAACGGTCGGGGACACTCCTGGCTTTGAATATCGCTTTGAATAACAGGGGAAACCAAGAACCAGACACCTGAGTGTCCATCAGTAAGACCATAAAAAGGTATATTTTGGGATATTCACCCAGCAGAAAACACGGTAGCAGTTAAAATGATGAACGAAAGTACACAAGTCAATACAAGTGAGTCTCAGAAACATTTGTTCAGGGAAAAAAGAAGTCGCGGGAGGATATGTGCAGCCTGAGAACATTCCTGCACCTTCCGAAACTGTGTAAACGTTATTTTCCGTCATTTACGGGTACACGCGTACAGGAAGGTGTGAACACGTGGGCAGGAACATACCCTGAGCTGCGACGGGGGTTACGCTGAGGAAGAACATCCAGTAGGGCCGCCGGACGGCTTCAACTCTTTCTGTCTCATCTCCCGTCTAATATGAAAACAAACAGTCCAATTTGGCAAGAATCTCAATATGTGTTCAGTTGGTGTGATGAATATATGAGTGTCCGCTCTATAGCATTTCCAGTATTTTCTGTATGCTTGAAATATTCATGGCAAAAAAGGACAACTTGAAAACAAAAATGGCACATTCCCTATAAACTTTAAAAAAAAAAAATTTTAAAAAGGAACAGGAAGAAATGAGAATCACCCACAATTCCACCACCCCAAAACAATGTGAGTATCTTTGTTTCTTCTGGTCGCTGTTCTGATATTTTTATTATGAAATAGTTCACGCTTACACAGGAACCTCTTTGTTCTAGCGCGTTTACGTCGTGACGGCAGTAAACTAACACGCATACCTGCTGCCCAGTGTGAGATGGCAAGCCTGCCAGGCCCCCTCTGGGATTTTGTGTTTATCTCCCCGGTGGTTTCCCACGTGATTTCCCCAGAGCTGAAGTTAAGCCTAAAAATCTAATACTAGTTCTGCATGTCTTTAGATTTCATACAAACTCCAATGACAGGTTTTTCTGCAACCTTGGCCTCTTCTTCCCACGTCACAAATACACTGGCTGTCCACGTGCGCGCACAGCAGCTTGCCCGGCCATCCCCCGGCCGGGACGGTCGCAGTGCCCCCAGCATGTCTGCAACACACGGGTGCCTGGTGCTCCCCTCCTGGCGCGTGCGCGGGAGTGTTCCCCGGGGCACCCCCCGGGAACGGCCTCTTTGGGCCACAGAGTTTGCACCTTCCAAGCTCTGCACGGTGATGCCCATGACGCCAGACCATTCTTCTAGGTAGTGACACCAGTTTGTACCCCCACCAGCACCCCCACCTCCATACACATCCGTACCAACGCTCGACAGCCTCAGAGTCTAAATGTTTTGCCATTCTGGAAGACTTCACGTGGTGGCTTGTCATGGTTTTACGTTGGGTTTCCCCAATGGCTTCCTCAACGCCAGATGTGCGTGCCCATCCTTGCGGGTCTGGGCGTTTCCTTTTCCATCTCTGTAATTTCTCCTTCTCGCTTGCTGGTTCAGCCACGCACTTAGAAGGTTTTCTTTTCTTGACGTCGTGTTTATCAATCTGTCCTCGCAGGAAGGTTTTTCGGGACATCAGGTTGACCACACTGCCGGAAGCAGACACTATATACTCCAGTACTGTTGGGGGGTCTGCAGCGAGAACACGCTCGTTCAGATGACGTAATGTTTACGTGCAGATACGTTGCAATTGAAACTTTTAAAAACACGGACCTTCTCCCAAATTGAGCAATCGTAAATAATAGGTGCAAGTGACATCTTTAGAGGTCAATTTCCACAGCGTTTCCAATGATCTCCGAGGGTACAGGCCACAAGCAGAATGACCTGGAGAAGGTGCTAGAACATCTCTAAGGTTCTTCATCTGTACTTCACACTCTCCGTCCAGAAGCACCATTCATCAGTGCCCCTCACACAGGCTCCCGTGTCACTCCACCCTCACCAACATCTACATTAACGTTTCTATATATTGGCCAGTTTAATAGCTAAAATGTAAAATTTATATGGGGGTCATTTTCACAGTTTATTAGCCATCAGGTTTTTGTTTTTTTTTTATTCCTTTTGGGAATTCCCAGCTTATGTTCTGTACTAGTTTGCTGGGGCTCCCATAGAGAGCCACAGAACAACAGAAA